TACATCTTTCTGTCACTATATTGTCTTTTATTCAACCTTTAGCTGGAGGAGGCCAAGGCACTGGTAAGCGATGCCATCCATGCAGGCATCATGAGTGACCTGGGATCAGGCAACAACACTGACCTGTGTGTGATTACGAAAGAGGGGGTGGACTATATCAGACCTCACCGAGAGTCCCTTTATAACTATAAGAGGTAAAAAAAATTTTTTTTTAAAATAAAATTACACATTTTTACATTTTAGAATTACTTATCATATCAATATTATATCACAATGTAGATTTGACTTCATTTTATGAAAAAATTGTGTGAAAAAGCTTTTTTTTTTGAGTAAACTGTACTTTACATTTTGTTTAGTGCATAAAACTACATCTTTCTGTCACTATATTGTCTTTTATTCAACCTTTAGCTGGAGGAGGCCAAGGCACTGGTAAGCGATGCCATCCATGCAGGCATCATGAGTGACCTGGGATCAGGCAACAACACTGACCTGTGTGTGATTACGAAAGAGGGGGTGGACTATATCAGACCTCACCGAGAGTCCCTTTATAACTATAAGAGGTAAAAAAAATTTTTTTTTAAAATAAAATTACACATTTTTACATTTTATAAAATAATATCATGTCACAGCAACTGCATTTTTAAAGGTTAGTGTTAATTGTGCCTAATGCCTAATATTGGTAATATATTGATCTCTCATTGTCTCTCTTTTACAGACAGGCAAAGTACAAATATAAGCCAGGCACAACACCTGTTTTAACTAAAACCGTGAATCAGCTGGAGCTGGTGCATGAGACCGTTCAAATGATGGAAACAGCAGGATCCAGTTGAGCCATGAAATACACTGTGATGTCATAATGTGATCTGGAAGTTACTGTTTTGACAAACAAACGGGAAAAAAGACAGATCATGCTGTAAATGTGTTTTTTTGTCTGATGTTTGTTCGCATAATTCCATGGCTGCGAGTGGACTGATGATCATCAATAAACTACTGCAATTTCCAGCATATGCCCCACATATCATTTAAAAAAAAAATGTTTTAGAAACAAAGATCTGTTTTAGTAAACGCAACAGAACTTAATAAAAAAAATGCAACACAAATAAATTCCAAGGACATTTTGTGCAATATTGCTATTATTGGTTATTTGATATGCTCAAATGAATGATTAAAGCCAAATTAAAGAGCTTTCAAAACAATAACGTAAAAGTGTAGTATGTATAGTATACTGTGTAAAGATCACTGTGTTGCAAATCATAAATACTTGCCTATTGGTCCTTGTGTTCCATTTCGAAAAGTGGGCATGCTACATATATATACACACACACACAAAACACCCATATGTATTAAACTAAACGACATTTAAAGGAAAGAGCAAAAAAGGTCAGCCTTTAATTGGACAACTGAACAGCATATTAGTTCTGATACATAGTATAGGGTCAGTTCATTTAGGCTAAATGCATTCTTTTTTATAATATAATTTGTTCTGCAGTTCCATGCATTAAACTCATTATGCATTAATGCATTAAATTTATTGCAATAGGGTGTGTCCACGGTTACGTTTCCGCATCTTCCCAATGTTTCACCTGGTCTTAACCTGCATCGGATGAATCTACATAGATACCGAGGACGCTGAGAGACTCGCGCTCCTATTGGTCAACCAGCTTTATACAGAGCCTTTTCCTCAGACAATCTCAAAATTATCATATTTATCACAAACACTCTCAAACAACATATAGACAAATAAAAGAAATGCATTTACAGCTGTTATTCGAAGTTATAGATTATAGTTTTTCAAAGATATTTTCTGCTTGTAATCGAAACTAAGAACTACTAAATCTTTCGGTTTCGAAATCATTGTCTTCCGTGTTTCCTTCATGTAAAATACTTACACTTCGGCCATTTCGCTTTTACTGTCTGAATTACTTTAATCGTACTTTCTTTAGCCTATATAAAGAATGGCTCTTTTGGATGTGAGTGGATATAAACATAATTCCGCGTCACAGCTGGGTTTTAAGCAAACGCATCTTCTCGACCGACTGAATCACTATAGTTTTGGGACCAAATGCCAGGAGTTCGCGGTACCCGTTGGGGTTGATGTAAGTAACTTTAGTGATATCAATTCTTCACTAAATCTTAGAGACCCATTATTGTGATAGACAGCATAAAAACACACATTTTGTGAGAAAATAACTGAAGAATGCTTGAGTTGCACCCAAACATGTTGAACAGTGGTGGCGTGGTCAACCGTAAGTACCAGCAATGTATTACAAACTGGCTAGCAATGAATCTGAATCTTAACATTAAAATAAAAATGTAAGAATATTGAGCTGCAGTAATGTGCTATTATGGTTCAACCAAAATCTGTAAGAAATGTGAATTTGTCCCCAAAACAAGAAATAACCCTAAGCTTTGTATTTCTGTCCTACATTATTGTTTTCTTAATTCAATAATGTACACTATCGTTGCATAGTTTTTGTGTGTCATATTTAAGAGATGAAGTCTTCACATATGTTTTCTCCTCTTAGTGTACCACATGCAGGAGGACGGCTGGATCAAGGTGTGTAAGGAGGACGTGTCAGAGTTAATCCACAAATATAAGAAGGGAATGTTCTGATCTGATCTCTCATTTATCTGACAGTAAAAATTAAACTGTTATCAAATCAAAGACGCTTTTGGTGCATTCTTTATTATATATTTGAATTGTATTTTCTGTAACTATCTGTCTCAATGAATAAAAAAATGAACTTAATTCACTTATTTTATAGGACAAATATAGCTTCGTGTTTGTGATGACTTTTTGTGCTTATTCAACCCAATTTGTATGTGGTTCCAACTGGGTTATTCTCTGGGAACTGTGCAGTTTGTGCCAGAAAAATTCTGAAAAATAATTTCATTTGAAAAGATTATTGTTGAACCTTCATAACATTTTTTTTTTTTTTAAGGGGACCACCATAGGCATCCTCCCCAATATTCAGACTAGTGGTGGACAAATATGGGATGCACAGCTTCTTCTTTTTTCTTTATAGACCGTGAAATAATATTTTAATTTCAATATAGCTTACTTTAAAAGGGATCTATTATGCCCCTTTTTACAAGATGTAATGTAAGTCTCAGGTGTCCCCAGAATGTGTCTGTGAAGTTTCAGCTCAAAATACCCCACAAATCATTTATTATGCCATTTTGAAATGCCTATTTTGAGTGGAAGCAGAAACTTGCTGTTTTCGTGCACGTAAGCACACGCACAGAAAGCGGCTGTCACTCAGCATGTCAATACTAAACTAAGTTCTCTTTCATGTCTTATTGTGCTCAAACTGTCAAATATACACAAGGTTATGCCAAAAACACACATAATTTACATAAACATAGTCGGTTATGTCTATGAACGTAAACAGCTGGGAAAGAAATCACATGTTTATTTTAGATTTGTGTATTACCTACCACTGTCGCTGTTACAGTTTTTTTTTGCTAACAAGCATTGTTCAATACCGAAGCCACATTTTCAAAACTGTTCAGCTGTACAGAAGTCTATGCTAAACAAACTGTGAATCATTTTTCATTGCTTTCAGACAAAATGCATTCAATGACCACATTTCTCAAAATCCACAAACATTTTTCAAATGCTAACACACTGCTTTCAAACCTGATAAAAGCACATTCAAATCGGAAAAATGGCAAACTCTGTCCATTTCTACAGGAATTATATTAAAATATAAAATCTTAGCAGAATATTTACTGTGAAATTTAATAATAATGATTCCAAACACAACTAACTGCAATTTCAGCAGAAAGCCAAGCCAGATGTCCTATTTGTAGTTTTTTTGTTTGTTTGTTTTTGGTGATTTTTTTGATAAACAAATAGGATGGATGCCTTCAGGATTATTATTGCTTCAGGAAATTATTCATGTTTTTATTTTATTTTATTTTTCACAAGTAAATTTAGTAAATGTTGATGTGTTTTTGTTTTTGGTATGTAAAGAAATAGGGTCAGTAATACAGTCAGTAAAATGAAAAGATGTTATCCTATAATGAAATACTTATGTGACAAATAATTCATACTTCAAAGATAAAAGTTCATAGTTTATGTAATGCTCCTTGTTAGTGTTTTTAGATCAGTGTGTTGAAGGAGTGGAATCCTGCATTCATCACGGCCTTCATAAAATATATTACTGTAATTATCCTTTTGCATGATTATTGATGTTATTACGTAATAGATTCTGATGGAATATGAATTCTGCTATTTGAGTAAAAGACAGATATTCACCACTTGCTCCTTTCTGTGAGGTTTATTTTCTTTAAAGAATCAACAATACAACTTTTAAAGGCAACCAATTTATATAAACATTCATGTTAATTCAACTTCACATTCAACGTTAATCAGGTTTACTAACCTCAGATAAAGGAAATGTCTTTTACTGTACTGTTCAGATGTTAATGTTTACAATTAACATCTGATTACAATTAACAACCACCTACAATTATTTAACAAGATTGAACTATTCTGGAGTACAGCTTATCATCTAACTAATTTAAAACAAAAAAAGAATATAAAAACAGAAAAAGCCCAATAATCCCATACAAGGAATAAAATACAAAGCATACTGGTTGTTTAATTTTAATAGCCCAGTTCCACATATCATCAAATTTAGACCATTTAAAGTTATTTAAATGTTGCAGTAGATAAACAACAAATTTTTGCAGCCTTTGAAAATCCTTAGAAATCGCCTTCGAAATTCTACAAATCAAACAACTTTGCAAACCAATCATTTGTATTCGTTGTTTTCTTCTGTCACTGAAGAGAAATATATACATTTTCCAATTTAGGTTCTGTGATCAACATCTCATATTTCTGCATTTTTAACAATTAATAAGTTAATAAACTGAATGAAAACTAAATGATGATCAGAAAGTGTGAATAAACAAAAACATTACTTTTTCGATGTAATTAATATGTAAAAGTAAGACAGATCATTCCCAGAAAACTTTGATTGTGTATGTGTGTGTGTGTGTGTGTGTGTGTGAGAGAGAGAGAGAGAGAGAGAGAATGTGTGTGTTTATGTGCAGTTTTGTAAGCCAGCAGGAAAAGTTTTCATTTCTCTTCATCTCTCACTCATCTGGTCTCCTAAAATGCCAGAAAAACACATTACATTTCATTCATTTCACATGACTGACACAATTACACTGATGAATAAAAACACACTTACATCTTTACGCTTGTGGAACTGTATGAGCTGAGCTGTTTGAGCCGTCATCAGAGCCTAAAACAGAAAACAATATTAAAATAAAAACAACAGACTGATTGTATAAAACCTATTAGATTAGCACAGCAATCATTTCTGTATCTATCCAATATCATATTTATAAGTTGTACATTATAGAGGAAAAAGTTACAGGACAAAACTTCTATTTTAATTTACTTTATGATTTTATATTATAGAAATATTATATTATGGATTTAGATATATAAAGATAGTACTTTTAACTACATCATGACCGATGTCAGAGTCCACTGTGATACATTTTCATTGTTTGTATTTATAAGGAACTTACCGCTGACAGGTTTAAAGCCTGAAAAACAATCAGAGAGATGAAATGTAAGTGAATTTCATTCAACCACAAAAGTTACATGATCAAAACTAAGACTACAATCAGTGAACACAATTTAAACTTCTTTAATTCTTTACAAACAACATTTAATAAATGTATATGCTATTTAAAATGTGGTATTTTATACAATTTTAAAATAGTTAATCAAAGACATTTTAATCATTTTAAGGGCTTTTGAACACCCTGTCATAAGAATTTGTCCTCACCTTTTTTCTTCTGATACACCATATATCCAGCGACACCAATGATAACCAACAAGACGACAGCAGCAAGAGCACCAACTATGATGCCGATGGGAACAGAACCTTCTGTTTGATCATAGGAAAACATCAGATTACATAGATAATGTTAGTAACCAGTACTGGTGAAAATATCTCAAACAGTGTCTGTGATAGTGATATATGCAGTGCATTGTAGTGACGACATATTTATAATGTGCAACCATATAAAAACAATACAGGTATAAACATACTCTGTACTCTATTGTTTGTTTTGTGGTTGTTTCCATTTTAATTTATTATTCAATAAACTTCCTTTTTATTGAATCATTGATTTTTGGGGGTTTATTTTTTGTTTAGTGAAGACCTTAACCAGTTGGTGGTTAATCTCAGGAGGGGCTATATCTAATTTCTCTTACCTGGGTTAGTCCTGATCTCATTCTCTGTCTTGGTTTTGCCTTGATGCTCCACCACACAGCTGAACTTGTTCTTCTTCCACTCATCAAGTGTAACTGTGATGGTGCTGGTCTTCTGAAAGGTTCCGTCCTCATTGGGAAGAAGTTCACCAAGATCCACATCCTCATGATGCTCTTGTCCGTTTTTCTGCCAGGAGATTGTTACTCCACTGGGGTAAAAACCTGTAGCATGACATGTGACTGGAGACGAGGAAGACTTCTGCAGCAGAGACACCTGAGGAGAGACTGAAGAGAGAGAGATAGCTTAAAGGGTCATGAAACCCTAAAACACCCTAAAATCTTTTTTGAGATGTTAACAGTTATGTACAGGTTGTACATCAATGAAAACAACAATAGCACTCAGGTGTTTTTTTGTTTTGTTTTTTCATTTTTTGGAGGCATTTCGTTCTTCCAGTTTAAAAAGCAAAGTTGAATCAACATCATGAAAAGTGACGTATATGTGATAACTCGGAGTGGTGATTGGCTGCTGTGGCTGGAAAGTATGAATCTATGTCATCGGTTTTCTGAGCTTTTCGGCGCATTTATTTATGAGAATGAACTCTTATGATCCAATCACTGCATTGTATTATGCATGAGATCGTATTACAGTGGAGAAATTAAAATCTCGTGAGAGTTTCTGCGCTGTTAGTTCACCTCTGCAAACATGACTGTAACAATATTTCATATGTACCAACACGTGGAGTGCGCATGAGAGAGCGGTTTCTGCACGGAACGTCGCAATGAGTTTACCAACACTCGCTGCATGGATCATAGTTCGTATCCAGACTGGAGCAAGCGTGTTTTAAGTGTTTGTGGACATATTTCATATTCTTGCGTGCTCCAAACATGAACCAGCACCGTGTATGCGCACATATTTCATCATGTCTTCTTCAAATGAAATATGTGCAAATAAGGACAATGATACAGCAGTATGTCTGATCATGAACTGATGACACGACAGATTATTGTGATACACAGCAAACAATGATATAGACCGAAAATTCAAAGAAGGGTGGACAAAAAAGTAACTATGCCTTTATTCTTTCTCTGTTAAACTGATGTGTGTCATTTGTTCAGAGACTGTAGTGCTGATAAATGTAGTGAAAATATTATTTGACCTTTTAAATGTTCTTCTTCATTTTTTAATATAGACCAATAGCTCTGCAAAGTTATAATACTGATTTGTTTATATTGGTTGTTAGTAGTCTCTAATGATACGATTTTTGAGAGTTTGTTATCATTGGGTTATATTTTTTTAAATATCAAAGGGGCTCCTAACTCTGTTTTCTTCCTTTCTCTGCTCATATTTTAATATTCATTTGTCTGTATAATGAGTGAGTTGTAGGTCTACTGTATGTTTCATTGGTTGTTTTCTCCCCTCTTCCCACCCTCTGCACTCCCACTTTTCCACAGCTTTGCATGCCAATTTCTTGAGTCTTTTTCAAATCTGAGGTGTGAACGACCTGAGCTAAAACAGGAGGTTTCATGACAATTTAAATACATGTGGTGCCAAGCCTCCTGCTGCTGTAAATTATTCACAAATCAGGCATGCATTGTCTTCAGTGAACATCTTTCACACCTATCAATTAGACTACAGTAGTCTTGCAGCTGATACCTTTATCCAAACTCTTTAAAGAACACTTCTATTATTAACTTCCACAAACAAAGACCACAACACCTGTAATGCTTAAAATATATATATAAAAATCTACACTGAAGAAAATGTATGTGTTAAATCTCCAGTGACAAAATGAAGTGAAAAGTGACTTCTGGAAAACAAGATTATTTGGGTAAAACATGCACAAGATCACTGCTGGATAAGATCTGATGTACCTGTTTTCTTCAGGCTGCTCTTTCCGTACTGCACATACTTCTGCAGCCACTCAATGCACTCAGTGCTGAAGTAATTTTTGTCACTCTCAAGATAAGCTCTGTCATTGTTCCACTTCTGTACGGTGGGGATTCCTTGCTGAACTGGAGAAATCCATCTCAGCTCCTTCAGATCCAGAGACACAAAGTCCTCTCCATCATATCCAAACTGGTCGAAGGCATCTGCTGCTCCAGTCTGATCGTCCCACTCACAGCCGTACATTTCCAGCCATGTGTGCACACCTGAGAAAGAGAGACCAATGAGTGTATCTGTATGAATAATCAATTTATACACTCAGAATAAAATCATCAGTTAGTCAGAAATTACCAACATATCTGACTGAGAATCAAAATACAGACACCAGCCAATATCAGTCGGTCAAAGGCATTAATCATTTTTTATTTGGTCATTGAGAAGGTGACAAACATTCACTGCTCATTTCTAAAGAATTCATCTTAATTCACAGATTCACATATAATGAATAAGCGTAAATAAGATTAAAGAAGAGCTTAGCATTACGAGAGTGCTGGACTAAATGATGATGATGATGTGGAGGATCAGTAAAGCCCTTTTCCATTTCTTAAAGAAAGATTTTAGACATTATAAATGTCTAACTAAATGTCTGAATGAGAAAGGTTTGTGTGAGGGTTTATTTTGGTAGGCTATTGTTATGTCCCTGTGTGACGCTGACTTGTTGTTTAAGTATTTTCTTGTTTTTGTGTTCTTTTGCTCGAGTTTTTTCCCCTGTTGCATTCTCTCTCTCTCTCCCTCTTACTTTCACTTTCGCAGATGACGTGCGGATTGGTCGGCTCACTTGTCAATCATTTGGGACAAGCCGATTGGGTGTGATGACGGGAGGGGGTTGTTCTTGTGTGTGTGTGAGTGTGAGAGAGATAGAGAGAGTGTGTTGTTTGCAGTCAAAAGTGACCGAACACCTGAAATTTAACTTTTTTGTTATTTTCAGTAAAATCAATGTAATATATTTTTGTTTGATAATATTTTTTCTTTTTTCTTTTTGTATTTTGAGAGAATTTCATGGTACTAATGAATATTTATCCAATAATAACGATCAATTTTTCCATTGAAAATAATTTTAAAAAAATTCTAATATTTTCATCTCATCTAAATTCACACATTTCACTGTTTCTCCTCTGTTTCTGAAGCAGAACCAGTTCATTTCTAACAAAAGAAGAACTAGATTAAAAAGATATTAAAAGACAAACTTTATGTTTCTTGAGAAAGCAGTTTAAAGCTTGAAGTTTGAAGCAGTTTTAAATTTGAATCGCTTTTAAAAGCTTGAAGTTTGAACACCTAAAATGTAACTTTATTTTATTTTCTGTAAAATCAATGTAATATATTTCTACTTGATTAATTAATGTATTATTAATCATTTGTTTTATTTTAAATTCAATGATATTTTAATCTCTCCTCACTGGGTTCTGTGTGTCTCTGAGCTTCTCGTTACAGTTGATTATTCATTATAAACAATGAAAGTCCAGCTCAGACCTGTAGTTATGCATGTATCTGCAGCTC